TTTTTTATATAACGACGTTGGCAACATGGGTTGTTTACGTTCATATCATATGATTTTTGTTTTATGCTTTTAAGGTCCCTGGCTCCTTGCTTTGTCTATCTCTTTTTAATGATGTTAAAAGTGTGAAAATACACGCTAAAATTCTTGCGAAATACGTTGAAATAAAAGTATATATTCATAAAGTAACACTTGCAATCGATTAAACAAATTTATAAGATATTCCGTGTTCTCCTCTTTTACTCTAACAATGTATAATTTATTGTAAATAAACTTGAATAGAAATAGGCGAAGAAATAGGTTAAAGAGGTGAATTGTGTAAGAGTCAGAGAGAAAAATATACCGGAAGCCGGAGTTTGCTGGACCGTGATTCGAACCCTGGACCTTTCGCTATCCGGGTGACTGCTCTTACCACTGAACTACCCAGACTCCCTACCTCAGTATATTCTCTCTCTTCTTCTTAGTAGTTATTGATTTGTCAATATGACTCGTATTATCTCAGTTCACTTTATATCTTACAATTGTATGTCACGTTAATTTACGATAAATGATTGATTGTTAGAGCAAATGAGGAGAACACGGAATATTTTACAAATTTTTTTAATCGATTGCAAGTGTTATGCAGGATTCACACCGATGTCCGACGTGCGGCGTCCGATATCCAATAGGAGAATAGATTGGATATCGGATATCGGACGCGGTGTGAATCCTGCATTACTTTATGGATATACAGGGTGTCCGAAAAGTCTGGACACGGCCGATTTTCTCGGAAACTATAGGAGTTAGAGGAAAATGTTAAATACAAAAGTTGTAGGGTTTCAACCAATCTATCAACTGGTCACCCTTGTTTGACCTTGACGAGTACCGTGGAGGTCACGTGGAGGTCAAGATGATTTTTTTTAATGGGACACCCAGTATTTGGTAAGGTCATGTGAACGCTGGCCCCGAGCCCTTTCCAAAGCCCTCAGCTCGGCCACTTCATCTCGGTCGCAACGGCGACTGTTCGCCGATCTCCCAACCAAGATGATGGAAGACCGTAGTTTTTCTAACAAACTTTCCCTAACCGGAGCGTTATCCCACGACTGAATAATTGGTCGCCCTAAACAGGGCGGTTTGTTTTGTGTACGCTTCCAATTGCGCTCACTCTCTTCTCTGACCATTCCGGCAAGGGCACTCCCACCCGTCCTCACTCTTCACAATCTTCCTTCCAATTAGATTCCTTCCGAAGTGAAGTGGCCGAGCTGAGGGCTTTGGAAAGGGCTCGGGGCCAGCGTTCACATGACCTTACCGAATACTGGGTGTCCCATTTTAAAAAATCATCTTGACCTCCACGTGACCTCCACGGTACCCGTCAAGGTCAATCAGCGTAGCCCATTCGGTAGGTCTTATGGAGTCTAACTTTTATCCGAAACATTTTTCCATCATACCCACCGTTTGCGAAATAATCGGCCGTGTCCGAACTTTTGCCATGCAAACACTAATACTCGCCTCAAGGTCACCGCCAGAGGGTTGGAAGGGCTCATGCCCAGGGTTTTGGAAAGGGCTCGGGACCAGCTTTCACATGACCTTACCAAATACCGGGTGTCCCATTTTAAAAAAATCATCTTGACCTCCACGTGACCTCCACGGTACTCGTCAAGGTCAAACAAGGATGACCAGTTGATAGATTGGTTCAAACCCTACAACTTTTAACATTTTCCTCTAACTCCTATAGTTTCCGAGAAA